TCCAATCCGTGCTAGAAGAAGAAGAGCGAGAAAGGGTGCAGAAAGAAGTTGTGGAGGATGACGAAAGTAAAATAGAAGGAATTATTGATCATTTCCCAGGGGTGGTACCACATGAAGAAGGAAGGGAGGTTGAGGAAGCAATTGGTGTCCAGGTTGAGGGCGAAGTTGAGGTGGAAGAGGCTTTAACCGACCATGAGTTGCATGTGATATCTCCACCAAACTTCGAGGAACTACTTAGCAAGGACCCATTTGCAGTGTCTCTTTGCCAGACCAAGGCCACATCAACATCGGTCCCTCTTGGTGGATGCGATGGTGGTCAATCAATATTGTCATATCTGGTTTGGTGCAATGAGACGAGAGAAGAGAAGAAGAGGTCTCGAGGGTGGAGACGTTATTTGCATCAAGTGCACGAGCTTCCATCACCTGTCATACCACATGCTTGTGACTTGAGACTCCACCTCATTGACGAGAACCTCAACTTCAAGGAGGTTTTGGAGTGGATCGAAAATTAGGAGCTACCGTCCGGCTCACGACGTGAAAGAAGCGCTTGTTGGGAGGCAACCCAACCAGTCGGTTTGCATTTCTTTCTCTATTTCTCTTCGGTTGAGTCAGGTTTATTATTTGATTTTAGAGTCAATAACTCAACCTTTGTGAGATTTTGTGTGGTGTTTGTGTTTCGACTACTCTCTCCTCCTGGAATGCACCGCCTACCTCGTTCACCATCATTCACACTTGATCTGGTAACTTCGTTCTACCCTCCTTATCTTTCCTCCATTGAGGACAATGTCGTGCTTAAGTGTGGGGGATGTTTGATTATGTATGTGTGTGAATGTTTGGTTGTATGTGCATGCTTGGAGCCTAGTCCGCTGTCCAAATCTCGAGATTTGAGGGCTCCAAGTATTGCTGTTTGCTTGATGCTTGATCGTATTGGCATTGTGGGTTTGATTGGTGAATTGAATGGCTTTTGAATTAATGCATGACAACTGGAGTGTGACTAAGACAACTGATTATGATGACTGAGACGTGTAGTAGAATTGTGTAGGGGTTCAGTGTTTCAACTGTTTGCTTACCAACTGTGACTTGGATTAATCACTTGTTCTTGACAGTCATTTATGCATCTAGTTCAGGGAATCAGAATGAGAGATAGATCATATAGGTAGCCATGTGAGATTTGAGCCTGCTCGCTTCTTTCTTGTGCGATAGGTCCCTCTTCCATGATGTGCAGCATTCACATTGTCATTAGCTAAGATGATGGAGGCATTGGATTAGCCCACGACCAAATTGACCTCCTTCGCTCTTGTGCTCTAAAGAATGTGAGTAATGCAGAATGGCAGAAAAGAAAGAGTGGTTTGATTGACTGCGATTGTGTTGGTTTGGGAATTGTGGAACCTTGTGCTATGAATACTTCCACCACCTAAAAGGCCTTTTCCCCATGTCCACGACGCTAGCCATTCATCTGAACCTGTGTCTACCTCCGGATTAGTTAGTGATGACACTCGATATGTGAACTCTAATATTTAGAGGCTGCCATCATGGTGAAGAGACGTTAGGAATTGAGAGTATGAGTATGCACATCTTGCATCAAAATTCTGTCCTGGCCCCACTGGTCGAGAGTGAGCGATTTATTTCCTCATATTTTCTACACTCTTTACCCCGGTGAGGACCTAGATTGCTCGATCTTAATTCTGATATCTTGAGCTTTGTGCATGAAGTGACTGTCTCGAATAAGTGGTTGAGTCAAGTCCATGTTGGTTGGTGAACAGAAGGGACACTCTTCCTTTGCTCGACTTTGCTGCACTCGAATGTCATCTGTGGTGGTCGTCTAGGTTGTCGTTGAGGTTGTCCATGTGTTAATGATCAAAAGCCAGTATGATTCACCTGTTTTGTGCCGATATGACATGTCCCTAAAGCTTGCTTGATTAACATTTTGAGCTTACCTTATGTCTTACTTGGTTTGCTTGGGGACAACCGCGCAACCCAAATGCTAGGAGGATGTCGCCAGAGGAGGTAGCACGTCGTCGGGCACAAGAACTCTGCTTCCATTGCGACGAACGTTTTACGATTGGCCATCGTTGTGCCAACAAGAACGTTCTACTCATGATAAGCGCATGTACCGACGAGGAGGAAGGCAGGGACGGAGCCATGAATTTAGATAAGGGGGGCCAATAAAAATTTTGAAGTACAAGTTTATTATGTTATTTATCATTCAACACAAATTACCAAAATACTGACACATAGAAGTCTATTTCTAACTAGTAGAATAGCTTTGTATTGAAAGGTTGGGGATGAGAAAGTTCGATACTAAGTAAGACAATGGGCAAAAACACTACTAAAATGGAAAACTTAGGTACCAAATCATAAGGTATGCAAAATTTGGGACAAAAGGTGAACTAAAATGAAAACATTTGGTACCAAATCGCACATGCATAACTTGGGATTAAGAAGCAAAATTTCATGAATTTAAACGATTCGTGCAAATTTTAGGTACCAAATTGTAAAGCATTCAAAATTTGAGGTTAGGAAGTAAAATTTTATAAAATTAAAAGCTGCTGCTAGCAACCATCAAACCTAGGACCTCCCCTTTAAAATCAAATGCTACACACCACTAGACCATACATTGTGTTATGTAGTATTGGTGCAAAGTCAAATTTTAATATGCCCCCTACTTACACGCTAGCTCCATCCCTGGAGGAAGGTCAATTCATCCATCAAGATGACCAACCTTGAGGGAAAGGTCGCTGCGAAGGGGAGAGATTGTTACGAGAATCAAACCACCGTAACTATTGGGCCTCGATCTTTGTTTAGTTATTTTATTGTTTAGTATTTTATTTATTAATTGTCTTTATTAGTAGTTTCTTTGTCTAAATATGATTTGGGTATTGTTAGTTATTTCCTTCTAAAAGTAGGAGTCATGTTATAGATATTAACCCTTTAATCTATATATCAGAATGATAACAATCTCATACCATCATTATTTTCATGAACAACGGCAATGAGTTTTCATATTTTGAAAGAAATGCAAACTACATTCACTATCTACATAATTAAGTAAGTCTCTTTTAATGTATCCCACTAAACAATTATTAACAAACTAATCTTCAATTTAATTTCGAAACTTGTTCTTGATATAGTTTAAAGTTGAAAATGCTCTTTATTCACTTGGAGTTGCAACGAAAAGGTTCAAAACTAACTTCAGAACTAAATAAACTAACAAATATGGTTTTTGTTCAATTGGGATTCATGTAGCAAAGAATAAATTAATAATTTGTCATCTTATAAACAAATACATGGATGTGCTGTGGGTGCGGCGGTGAAGCTTCTTTGTGTGAGCTGATGTTTCTGGTGTCGATATATGTCAAGCATAAGTGGGGTATTTTTACTGTAACCCAAAAAATATCCCTTCTTGGGACAAGGGCAATCTTAGTTGGCTCCGCCAATGTATGTGACGTTGTGGCAAGATGAAGCGGATTCTTTAAGAATTGGTGTCGTGTTGAGTACTGCCTTTTGTACTCGATTTTTTAAACATAGACAATGGTCAGGTAAATACCTGACCCATACATGGTCCAAGAACATATAATGTCATCGTGCGACAGTCGATAAATAGTCGAATTATCGATAAAATATTTTTTTGTCATAAATGGGCAGCCCTGCGAGCAGCTACACCTGCAAAATTAACAAACTTACATACTACAAATTAGTAGAAACCTAATAGTCGTCAAAGTCCTAATAGAAACTAAACAACCAACTGTACTGTCCGCCTCGACTTTTGACCAAAAGGACTGAACTGTGATCCCCTTTTGTTTTATCGTCTTTACTATGGCCACGAGGGGTTCCAAAAGTTGGATAAACACCTGCAAAACAAAACAAAACAAAACCAAAGCCCTTACCATCCACAATGTGGGTGAGTTTAGAGGAAAAAATGGGAAAGAATCCCACAATGTGGGTGGGAAAAGGGGAGAAGATGGAGAAAAATGGGGTGGAAGGGGATACTCACCTGTATAAGATAAAAAAACGGAGGAAGAGGTGGGGTGGGGCCTGCGTCAGGTTGCTTTATTTATTTTAAGGTTTAGTGTTTGTTTTTAGGGTTTAGTTTTTTTACCTTTTTTTTAATTGACATAGACCCAATCCGTGTTTGTTCGTTTACTTTTATTTCTTCTTAATTATGTTTATGTTCAATTATTAATGTAACAACTTTCTTGTTTAAATTGTTGTGATTTCGTCATTAATGACGTTAATTAGCGATGAATAAAATTTATGTATAAATTAAAAAAATTATATCAAAATGTATGTAATAATTAATTATCACTAACTATGTAAAATAATGATCATTATATAAAAATAAAGTGATGAAATTAACTATAGATTTATATTACCAAAAAAAGTGCTCAACAAATTATCTCATTTTCCCACCCCCACATTGTGACCAAACCCTCCCATTTTCCCTCTTTTCCCACCTTTCCCTCCCTCCCATATTGTGAATGGTCTTACAGCAAAGCCCAGTCCATGTCAGGAATGAAAATTAAATTGAAAAAGACCAAAAGCTTCTGCGCAGCGACCGAGCAAAAAATTGTCATCCCGAGCTCCTTGAAAACAAACAAAGTAAGGTGTCCCAAATAGGCCCATCAGGATGCCAAAAACTCTTCAAGACCACCAGGATGAAGGCCCAACACGGCTAAAAATAATCTCTACAAAGTTGACTAAAAGCGAACGAACCTATAATAATTAGGATTAATGATAGAAATATTGTTTTTTTTAAATTTACCACGAATATGGCCAATTAAAAACTATTGACATAGATATTGTGGTTTTTAGTAAGGATTGGGGCGGGACCACCTGAGACTCAGGCGGGACTAAACTTTTACCCAGTCCTGGGCGCTGGCGCCCCAGTCTCAAGCGGCCCCGCCTCAGACAAATTTTTTTAATTAGTCTGAGGCGCTGGCGCCCGAGACTCAGGCGGGAGCGCCCCGGACTAATTTTTTTTAAAATTCGGACGGGCCACCTTATCCCCCTCCCACCTTATCCCCTCCCCACACCACACACCCTTCTTCTTCCTCCCCCAACCCACCAGACCTGTCCTCCCTCCTCCCTTCTTCTTCTTCCTCCAACCCAACCCCGAACAGAGACCAGCCGCAACCGCACCGCCGCACCGCCCCAGACTCGGGCGCCGCCGCCGCACACTCGGGCGCCGCCGCCGCAGACAGGAGCGCCGCCGCCGCAGCCAGGAGCGTCGCCGCCCCAGCCAGGAGCGCCGCCGCCGCAGACAGGAGCGCCGCCGCCTTGGACTGAACCGCCGCCGCCCGAGATGTCCTCCGACGAAGAACCATTCGCCGCCGGCAGAGGCAGAGGTAGAGGTCGGCGAGGTCGTGGTGGAGTCGGCGGCCGTTTGCGCGGTGAGACTCTCGTCGGCAGCTTGATTTTTTTTTTAATGTTTTGTGTTTTTTTTAATGTTTTGTTGCTTTGTTTTTGCAGTTCCGAGGCTTATGGATCCTTATTCGATGAGATTACCGCCGGCGATAATTGATCCAAGTCCGGTCAATCCGACACTTCTTTGGGGACATGGCCAACATTCTTAAATTGCTCAACTTGACGATCAAACTTCTCCAACCGTTTTTCTCCGGCTAATAAAATAAACCACAACACGTGTTAGATAAATTCATGACAAAATTACATGAAAACATATAACAAAATTAAATGAAGAAAGCTTACCGACTCGAAATAGTTGATTATACATAATTTTGCTTCGAGTCTTCCTTTGCCAATTGCTTGCATAGTGTCGCATGCACCACCTCCACTCCCAACCTCTTCCGATGTTATTCATGGCTTCATAGAGTCCTGCATGTCTATCTGAGATGATGCATACATCATTTCGATCAGTCAAACCCTGAACCTTCCTCATGAACCATGGCCAACTCTCAGTATTCTCGCTCTCCACTATGGCAAATGCAATTGGAAAAATCTTCCTCCGGCCATCAAATGAGCTCGCCATGAGTAGCACTCCTTTATACTTCCCAGTAAGAAATGTTCCATCCACAACCATGACGCCTGGACAATTCTTGAATCCATCTATACAAGGTCCATAAAGCCCAGAATACTCGCTGAAATATTAAGTGACCGGGTTGAGTCAAAGGAACTGTTACCCAATCAATCACCGATGTTGGCATTTTTCTCTTGACCACCCGCAAGAATGTTTGCAAAAAATCGTAGGATTCTTCCCAATTTCCATGCAACTTCTCCAATGCTCTTTGTTTCCCATACCAAGCCTTCTTGTAAGTAACTTGCATATTAAACTTATCTTTCAACTCGGCTTGAACAGTTAGAACACTCAGATTTGGTTGGGCACGTACCAAATGTTTGACGGCCTCAGATATCATGTCGACATCAAGATGGCGATGATCCGTCGGTTGAGTCGTACTGCTACAAGAATGCACCAACTCAGCTTTTCTCACAGTCCAGTCGCCCCCAACATCTCGACATCCAAACCGCACCATCCAAGGACAATTGTCATCCTTGTGCCTCAAGCATCTGACCTTCCATATTGAAGGTGACGAATCCACCACGCCATATTGAAAGTTGCGTTGTAGTGCGTGGTGTTTAATCGCCATCTGTGCAGCTTGTTTCGAGTGAAATATCTGCCCCTTGTAGAATTCTCCTTTAAAACTATCAACAATAGGCATTGGAATTACGCCATATGAATCAGCAAGTGCAAAGAATGCACCAACTCAGAAGTAGGAGAGATAGAAAGATAGCAAAGCTATCAAGCTCCTCGAAATGGGTTAATGATAGAAACAAGTTTCTATCGGGTTGTCAAATGGTGTTTGAGATTGAGATTTAGGGATTAGATGATAGAATTGAAAATTTCGAATAGAGATTTGGGAAGAATGGGGGTAGAGGAAGAAAGAATGGCCAACGGCCAGGCTAGGGAAGAAGACGAGATTGAGAGAGAGGAAAGATTTGGGATTATAGAGGTATTATTGATGACTCGGTATTTGCACATGTTTTCCCCTTTGTTTCTTGATTGTTTGAGTTTGAATTATTGCGTCTTTGTCCTATTTTATGCTAGGTTGTGTTCCTTTGACACATTTCAGGTCCTAGCACATAAAGTGAAGCATAGGCGCAAGTTTCAAATCAATCAGAGATCAATTGACGATTCGGGAGAAGAAACTTGGGCATGACCTGAAGAATAATGGATTTCTACCTCACTTTATGGACAAATAATCATGCAAGCTTGTCATGAAAAGAAAGAGGACAAGACTACGAGCGTCTGGGATCAAACAGGGACTGATTCGGAGTCCGGACGAGGGAGAAACGAAGCATTAAACAGAGGCTGAGCAAGCCACACGGGCATCCTGGAACTCCACACGGCCGTGTGGGTCGTGGTCGTGTGGAAATCACCGAGCCTTCACACGGGCAGCTGGGAAAGCCACACGGCCGTGTGATCAGGAATTTCTGTTTAAAACTCGATTTTGAGCCAAAGGAAAGGAGATAGCGGGGTTTTGGATCCCAAACACCCAAGGGACGAACTAAAGAGAGAAAGGGCGATTTGAGGGCATTCTAAGAGTGGAATTGGAGGATTTCTTCGCCTTGGAAGCTCGAGGAACAAGCCTGGACTTGAAGACTGATCATCTGAAGATTCTTACTGCAGTCTCTCTCTTCTCTATGGAGTAACTTCCCTTCACTTAGGTTTTGAGGAACCCTAGCTATGTTTGTTTGATTGGATGATTGTATGAGTTCTCTGACTTGATAATCTTGAGTTCATATTCAATCTATGCATGTTTTCATGATTCCATTCTGCTTTAGTCGAGATTATTGATTCTGCTTTGATCCTATGAGAGGGAATACCTGATTAGGTCAATAGAGCACCATAAATTGATAGTAGTGGATCGATTGCTTTAGTCGTGGGTTGATTCACTGCTTTGTATCGATTGAGACCCTCTTTCGATAGAGGGAGTCTAGTTCAGAACGCCTTGATCAGTTGTTCTAAAGAAGGATACGTCCCTCTAGGCAATTGACTCAAGAGGGCCTTGTTCCTTTAGTCGAGACTCAAGGTCTAGTCAAGGATTCTCCGTATTGTGAATGAAAGTGAAACAAGTTAGAAATCACCAATCGTTAGTCTGGCTAGTGGCTAGGGGGAATCATACCTAAGTGAGTTCCCAACCTGTAATTAGATTAACTTTAACTGTAGTTTGCTAGAGTAGTTTTAGTTCTTTCATCTTAATCTGGTTTACTAAATAATAAACCGAAGCTGAGTAATAGTAACTCTAGAGACCCGTGGATTCGATATTTATCACTTGAGCCACTATACTGCAGTCCCTTCCATTGGTTACACTTGGCAATTGTTAGGTGTTGTGTCGTAGCGAGTCAAGTTTTTGGCGCCGTTGCCGGGGAACTTTCTAGAGTATTTGGAAAGGCATAAGTTTGTTACTTTAGAGTTTTTCTTTTCTTTTCCACCCTTGCTTTTCACTTGGGTGTTTTTGTTTTTGTTGGTGCAGATCTGAATCATGGATCCTCATGGCTTCTCCAACAATTGGGGGTATCCACCACCACCCGAGTGGTATTACCCCGAGACTCCCTGGAGCAATCAAGGAGGAGAAGACTATGGATTCGGGTTCCAGTACCAACCCCCTTACTACGGAGAACAACCGGACCCCTGGGCATATCAAGAACAACCTCATTATCAAGAAGAATTTCTCCCACAACCAGAAGGGCCATCGGCGCTGGAGTTACCCATGGCGGCCTTCACGGACCATTCTGCAGAGCCATGCTACACTCCACGACCAGATCTAAACTATGAATTGAGGCTTCTCATGGAGCAGTTTGCTCGAGATTGTGAGAGATCATGCTCCAGGATGGATCATTGTGTCCAGGCCTATCGTGAAACAGAGGAGATCCTCCTGAGCCTTAAGAAGAGCGCCGATGATCTTGAGCGATCTTTCGCACAACCTGCTCCAGATCACCTTTCTGCTACCATAAAAGAAGAGGAGAAGGAAGAAGAAGGCTACAAGGACATAGTGGATCACACTGAAGTTGTCACGGAGAGCTCCCGTGATGATCATGATCAAGAATGTCATATCATAGCCGACCACACCTTCCCACATCCCAAACTGAGCTTTGAAGAGGCGGGCATGAGTGAGGAGATGCAAGAAGATCTCATGAAAGAAATTGCTTGGCAACTTGCTCTCCAATCCGTGCTAGAAGAAGAAGAGCAAGAAAGGGTGCAGAAAGAAGTTGTGGAGGATGACGAAAGTGAAGCAGGAGGAGTTCTTGATCATTTCCCAAGGGTGATACCACATGAACAAGGAAGGGAGGTTGAAGAAGCAACTGGCGTCCAGGCTGAGGACGAATTTGAGGTGGAAGAGGCTTGCACCGGCCATGAGCTACATTTGATATCTCCACCAAACTTCGAGGAACTACTTAGCAAGGATCCATTTGCAGTGTCTCTTTGCCATACCAAGGCCACATCGACATCGGTCCCTCTTGGTGGATGCGATGGTGGTCAATCGATGTTGTCATATATGGTTTGGGGCAATGAGACGAGAGAAGAGAAGAAGAGGTCTCGAGGATGGAGACTTCATCTACATCAAGTGCACGAGCTTCCATCACCAGGCATACCACATGCTCGTGACTTGCGACTCCACCTCATTGACGAGAACCTCAACTTCAAGGAGGTTCTAGCATGGACCGAAACTTAGGAGCCATCGTCTGGCTCACGACGTGAAAGAAGCGTTTGTTGGGAGGCAACCCAACCAGTCGGTTTGCATTTCTTTCTCTATTTCTCCTCGGTTGAGTCAGTTTTGTTATTTGATTTTAGAGTCAATAACTCAACCTTTGTGAGATTTTGTGTGGTGTTTGCGTTATGATTACTCTCTCTTCCTGGAATGCACCGCCTGACCCGTCCATTATCATTCACCCTTGATCTGGTAACTTCGTTCTACCCTCCTTATCTTTTCTCCATTGAGGACAATGTCGTGCTTAAGTGTGTGTGTGGGGGGGGGGGTGTTCGATTATGTATGCGGGTGAATGTTTGGCTGTTTGTGTGCTTGGAGCCTAGTCCACTATCCAAATTTTTAAATTTGAGGGCTCCAAGTACGTGTTTTTACTTGCAAATTGCCTGCTCAGTATGCTTTGAATCGACTTCTCTATAGTAATGTGCAACCTAGGGAGGTAGTGTAGCACTATGGAGGATGTTGAAGTATAAGATTTTTCCTATCTAGCTCTCTGTTGTGCCAGTTGATTTTGTGAATTAGTGGAGCTAAGACCGTTGAATTCATGTGGTAATGGTGACTCTGTTTGGAGTGTGTTATGGACTCGTGTATCGAATAGGGTGCTCATATGGAAAATGGGAAGCAGTTGGTCCTCCATGTCGAAATTATTGAAATCTTAAACATGGGGTAAGCCCAACGTGTGTGGCACCGTTCATTGCACAAAATCGAGTTTTGGAAGAGATTTTAGTGATCCTTAGTGGGGTACTCCTACAAGGTGAAGCTAAGTTGTCTCTAGTACGAGTAAAATTTTCACCCGTTGAACGGTTTGCCTACTTGAGGTTGTGTTTTTAAGGGCACGGATAGAGCTTCCGACCCCCCTTGATTTCATTGACCCTCCACACGAGTTGACAAAAAGGAGTTAAAAGAAGTACTCTGGCGAGCGCTAGATGTACAAAAACTGCTCTTGCTCGACTAATAAGGGTCGACCGTGCAAAAGACTGCAGTTGGAACCCCCGCCAAGTGAATGAAGAAAAAAAAAAGAGAAAAAGAAATGTAAATGAAAGTGCAAAAAGGGGTTCCAACGGTGAAATGAAGTGAAAAAGCACCCCGGTACAACGAGTCCTTGGTTGTGAATGGTTTGAGTCCCTTTGTCCATGAACTGACTGTCGTACTTCTACTTCTTCTCATGTTCCTGGCTTGAGTCTAGTACTCGCATTGAGAGAGATAGGAAACGTCTTAGAAGACAAGTTGACCTCGTAAGCTGCTATATGATCTAGGAAATCCTCTACCGACGATCGGGGTTGTATGTTGCTATAGAGTTCTGGAGAGCTGCATTGGTTTGAGTTAGGTTTGCTTGGGGACAAGCAAACAGTTAAGTGTGGGGGGATTTGATGACTCGGTATTTGCACATGTTTTCCCCTTTGTTTCTTGATTCTTTGAGTTTGAATTATTGCGCCTTTGTCCTATTTTATGCTAGGTTGTGTTCCTTTGTCACATTTCAGGTCCTAGCACATAAAGTGAAGCTTAGGCGCAAGTTTCAAATCAATCAGAGATCAATTGACGATTCGGGAGAAGAAACTCGGGCATGACCTGAAGAATAATGGATTTCTACCTCACTTTATGGACAAAGAATCATGCAAGCTTGTCATGAAAATAAAGAGGACAAGACTACGAGCGTCTGGGATCAAACAGGGACTGATTCAGAGTCCGGACGAGGGAGAAACGAAGCATTAAACAGAGGCTGAGCAAGCCACACGGGCATACTGGAACTCCACACGGCCGTGTGGGTCGTGGTCGTGTGGAAATCACCGAGCCTTCACACGGGCAGCTGGGAAAGCCACACGGCCGTGTGATCGGGAATTTCTGTTTAAAACTCGATTTTGAGCCAAAGGAAAGGAGAGAGCGGGGTTTTGGATCCCAAACACCCAAGGGACGAACCAAAGAGAGAAAGGGCGATTTGAGGGCATTCTAAGAGTGGAATTGGAGGATTTCTTCGCCTTGGAAGCTCGAGGAACAAGCCTGGACTTGAAGACTGATCATCTGAAGATTCTTACTGCAGTCTCTCTCTTCTCTATTGAGTAACTTCCCTTCACTTAGGTTTTGAGGAACCCTAGCTATGTTTGTTTGATTGGATGATTGTATGAGTTCTCTGACTTGATAATCTTGAGTTCATATTCAATCTATTCATGTTTTCATGATTCAATTCTGCTTTAGTCGAGATTATTGATTCTGCTTTGATCCTATGAGAGGGAATACCTGATTAGGTCAATAGAGCACCATAAATTGATAGTAGTGGATCGATTGCTTTAGTCGTGGGTTGATTCACTGCTTTGTATCGATTGAGAACCTCTTTCGATAGAGGGAGTCTAGTTCAGAACGCCTTGATCAGTTGTCTAAAGAAGGATACGTCCCTCTAGGCAATTGACTCAAGAGGGTCTTGTTCTTTTAGTCGAGACTCAAGGTCTAGTCAAGGATTCTCCGTTTTGTGAATGAAAGTGAAACAAGTTAGAAATCATCAATCATTAGTCTGGCTAGTGGCTAGGGGGAATCATACCTAAGTGAGTTCCCAACCTGTAATTAGATTAACTTTAACTGTAGTTTGCTAGAGTAGTTTTAGTTCTTTCATCTTAATCTGGTTTGCTAAATAATAAACCGAAGTTGAGTAATAGTAACTCTAGAGACCCGTGGATTCGATATTTATCACTTGAGCCACTATACTGCAGTCCCTCCCATTGGTTACACTTGGCCATTGTTAGGTGTTGTGTCGTAGCGAGTCAATTATGCTAATTGATTCTTGATTAATCTCAATAAAACGCAAGGTACATATTTATAACGAAAAATTGTAAAAGCCTAATACACTATCCAATATGACTCAAATATTACTAACCATATCATAATAAATCATAATAATAATAATAATTGTGATAGAACCCAGAAATTGGGTTTCTATCATCCCCTCCCCTTGAGACCAACCTTGCCCTCAAGGTTGACCGACTCGACCCACTTTTTCTTGAACTTCCGCTTTCTTCGTTTCCAGTTGCACTCAATTTCATGAATGAACTCTTGTCGTGCAACTCTAACTATCCTCAAATCTCCTCCACCCACGTGACATATGTCATGTTCTCCATAGCCGAACAATTCGCCCTCTTCGAATTGCACAAAATAAGAATTGGAGAATTTTTCTTCATTACGCTCCTCCACAACATTGAAATCTTCAATGGACAACTCCATCGAATTCACCGTGTACATGGTGGTGAAGACAAGCTCTTTTGGACTCCATTCTCCTCCGAGTAGGTTTGGGTTGAGCTTCACTGAAAACCCACCTCCTTCTTCCCTCCAATTCCTGTCATGAAAAATAGACCCAATAATAGAGTCAATAAGTGGCCCAAACTGTCCCGAAAATTCGGCCCACCAGCTGTTGGAAAGCCACTCGAATCCCTCTTTGTGGCCCTTAGTAAATTAGTCCCTCCACTAGAGTCTTGTGAGGCCCACTTTCCCCCAATCTCAGGCTCGTTCTGCGGATCTTCTCGGTCCACTGCCTCTTGCATCTGCGACCCGCTTAGCAGCTCCATTAGGCCTGACTTGAGCCCAAAAACCACTATCTGTCCCCCACAACCCGCACCAACTGACCCACTCGGACCGACAAACCGATCAGTAGTGCGGCCCGAAGGAACTGGGTGCTCTAGGGCTGCCAAACTCAGGTACGTGAGAGGAGGAAACCCGCCACCCTCCATCTTCATCTTCCACCTTGTTTCTTCCTCCGGTGACGAGGCCATCAACCCTCGCGACGACATCAACCTAATTTCCGACGTCGTCCAGGATTCCTCGTCGCCGCCCAATCCTTCCTCCTTCTTCTTCATTCTTTTCGAAGATCCCTCGCTCCGGCAGCACGAACCCATCTCTACCTCCTCCCGTGCGTCGCCATCGACGCCCGTGGTTGACGAAGCCAAGGGATCCGTCAATGACTGTCGCCTTTCTAGCCTGAGATGCAACTCCGGCGAATCCTTTTTCGATCTCCCAGCAAGGGGTTAACTTCTTTCCCCGACGATGGCTTCTTTGCCTCCTTCGGTTTGTCTTTCTCTGCGGCGAGCCGTGAGTTCGACGGTACGGAGGCCAACCCGACGTCTCCATCCTATCCAGCTCCATCTTGCCGCCTATTGTAGACCATACTAGAGGTCTTTGTTTTGGTCGTCCTTTCCTCTTAATCTCCAGTTCACAGTGCGGACTGAGATTCTCTTAAAGCCACCATTGACGAAGCTTGCTACAAACTGGCCCTCCCGCTCTGCCTGAATTGCAATCCTTCGTTCAAGGGCGTCAATGGCTGCGGATAGTGGCGTAGTGGCGTTGATGGCTAACGGTGGTGCTGCCAATGGCTCCATGACAGCCAATGGTTCTTCTTCAGTGGTCCCCTCTTTCTCATTGGCGGTATTAGCAGGGGATGTGTTGGAAGTCTCCTTTTTCTGAGCTATGGCAGGTAAGGCAGGGGCTTCCGGGCTAGCTTCTGATGTTGCCTCCGCCAACCTTTCTTCTTCGTCATCCTTCGTCGACCAAAGTTGAATAGCAGGTGGACCGCAGGTCAGTTCTTCGAGCGATGAGACTTTGGCGTTCTCCTCCATCACAGTTTGGAACTTGGGAATATGGACAATCAGCCTGTATATGCTAAACCAGTGAGTCAAGAATTTGTTGGTGTCAAAATCTGACCTGAGCCTAACCTTTGCTTCGAACGCAAGGTACATATTTATAACGAAAAACTGGAAAAGTCTAATAGACTATCCTAATATGACTCAAATACTACTAACCATATCATAATAAATCTTAATAATGATTATTATTATTGTGATAGAACTCAGAAATTGGGCTTCTATCAGTTAAGGCAATAAACTTGCCTAATCCAAATGTGGGAGAATATGAGGGCTGAGTGTTTGTGAGGGTAGAAGCAGAGCAATAGCAAAAGAGCCGCAACTCTTAATGTAAACGACAACAATTTTCGTAGTTATAAGAGATTGTTCTGTAAAAATATTGGAGCGAAATTATTTATTTCGATATTGTCGATCCTAAAATCTCACCATATTTCCGTTGTGCCCAAAAAATTTGGTATCAGAGCTGATATCATTTTTCCTATCCTCCTAAACCAGCCTCATATATCGTACCAAAAAAATCCCCAAAAAAATCATGACAGCTGTCCAGGCGAACTCAATGTTCGTGACGGAGGAAGACTCTGACAAAATATTAGAAGCATGGTTGAAAGCAAAACAACCATAATGGAGCAAGGCTACCAAAATGGAGCAAGGTCGAAAATAAAATCGACAGCAACATCATCATCAACTCAACTACATTATATGTCATAAGACTGACAGACAACAAAATGTTGCAAGTTCAAATACAGGAAGCAGAAGCAAGAAGATGAAGAAGTCAAATTCACTCAAGGTGAAGAAATTAAGCAGACGTCATTACGAAGTCAGTCACTTGAAAATAATTTGCGAAGTCCAAGGAGCAATTACGAATTTCGAATTGTGGATTAAGAGGGGGTGTGAGAAAGTGGCTAATCCACAATTCTACAATCTCTTAAAACTATCTACATGGCACTAGAAGTGCAACAGCAGAAATATCAGTACTGCCAACTACTCATAATAATATACACCACAAAAGCTATCAACTACCCGCCACCTAGCTTCCACAAAACCAATCACATATTAAACCTACTCATCATAATAATTGGTGTATTGAGGCTCTCTACTTATGGCGGTGGAGAGCTTGGAAATTTCTATAAATAGGCCTCATTTGAGGCATAGAGAAGTTGGATAGATTAGAAAGCTAGTAAGCTCCTCAAAATGGGTCAAGGCAATAAACTTGCCAAATCCAAATGTGGGGGAATATGAGGGCTGAGTGTTTGTGAGGGTAGAAGCAGAGCAATAGCATAAGAGGCGTAGCTATTAATGTAAACAACAACAATTGTGGTAGTTATGAGAGATTTTTCTGTAAAAATATTGGAGTGAAATAATTTATTCCGATATAGTTGATCCTAAAATCTCACCATATTTCTGTTGTGTCCAACAAAAGATTGGGATCAAATTAATTAATTATGGGAGAAACGTAGATGTGTGGATGTGTGGATCAAGGAGGGAAATTTTGGGTGCCAAAGAAAGGATCTGACGTAGTAGAAAGTCAGTTTGTAGTTGGTGAGAAGGTTCACAAACAAGGGTTTTGCAGCAAGTGAAGGGCAAGGAAATTATTGATTTTTCGGGTGATCCATTATTGGATGATATGGTAAGTAAGGAAGTTAGTGCAATTACTCCTCTTGGATTTAGTAAGAGTGAGGAAGGTTCTAGGCTTGGCCCATTCTAGTGTATATGTTATTTGCTTTGATTTTTGGCCCATGAAACCCAAGGATAGCAACTCTGTAACATAGGAAGATGAGGTGCTTAGGATTTTCCTTGTAACGTAAGAAGACGGGGGGCTTTCGGTTCGGCATCATCTCTTCGTTTCCTTGAGTTCTAAAGCCATCAATATATAGCTGGAATAGCCAACTGTAAAGGAGAACATATAGTGAATAAAATCAGTAGCTGAAGAGTATTTATACTTTTCCCTGGATTAGTCCTGGACACTCCAGGAATACCACGCAAATCGGTTTGTCTCTTGTTATTTGTTTGATCGTTTTTCATACAAATCATCATGGTATTAGTGCAAGATACAATGGAGCTTGGATCAATGGAGAAACATAGTGTTCGTCTCACCTCCACCAACTATGCCCCTTAGGAATGCCGATTTTGTGTCTTTGTTGAAGGACGAGGACTCCTTAGGATCCTAGACGGAATGACGAAGAAGCCTGCAGATACGACGTCAGATTAGACAAAGGCAACCTGTATTCAGAACGACGCCAGAGTTCAAGCTTGGCTAATGGGATCGATGGATGCTTCTACTTGCTTGAGTCTCCACCTCTTTCCAACGGCAAACCAAATGTGGAGGCATCTAGCTTCCACATACTCTACAGTAAGCGCAGCAAGACAGTTTGAACTCCAAACAACGTTGGCTCGATTAGAACAAGGTGATCGTACTGTCCCTGAATATCTCAATTTGGAACAAGTGTTATGGACAGAATAGTACCTCTTAGCAGCAGTCCTCCAACCGCATGTTGTTTTGGCTGAAGACGCAATTCAAGAGAGACAACAGACTCGGTTCTTGCAATTTTGGATGAGGATGAGACCGCATTTTATGGAGAAAAATTGCTAGGGTAGTAGCAAAACCCTCAAAGGATCAGGGTTGCTCTGTTGCAGTATATATATGAACATCAAAGTTTTGGTTTGTTCTAAGCAGACACTTGTCTGTTCCTTACTGGCCCTATTACAAACAAACACTGTTTAATAACGGCTATTATCCCAAACACATAAACGGCACAGTTTCATTTAAAGCAGAGTAAACATAAAACCAAAACGGCTGCGTCTCTTCTTTGATCAAAACGACTCCGTCTTCCTTTGACCTGCTTCTCTTCATTTCTTCACTTCAGCTGCTACTCCTTGTGGCATTAAGATTGCAAGGTCTGCTGACACCCCCCTTCAAGTTGTGGATACTCTTGTTACTCCCAACTTGTCAAGTAGATCCTTCAGTCTATGCCTGTCCAAGCCCTTAGTGAAGATATCTGCAAGTTGATTAATTGTGCTAACATGAAACAGCTTAATCAAACCTGTCCTTAACCTTTCTCTTGTGACATGCATATCAATCTCGATATGTTTTGTCCTCTCATGGAACACAGGGTTCTCTGCAATGTGAATTGCAGACCTGTTGTCACAGTACACAGCAACAGGTAGTGGTATTTTAGCATCCATCTCACCCAACAAAACTCTCAGCCAATCAATCTCACAAACCAGCAATGCCAATGCCCTATATTCAGCTTCAGATGATGATCTGGACACAGTTGTTTGTTTCTTTGTCTTCCAGGTAAGTAGAGAGCTTCCTAGAAAAGTACAATACCCTGTAGTTGACCTTCATGTGTCAGGGCAACTGGCCCAATTAGAATCACAAAATCCCACCAGCTTCAGTTCTGCTTTACTGCTGTAATGAATACCTTGATCTGGACATGACTTGAGGTATCTCAATACTCTATAAGCTGCTTGGAGATGATCAGAGTAGGGCTTCTTTTGAAATTGACATAATTGCTGCACTGAGTAAGTCAGATCAGGTCTGGTTATGGTGATGTAATGGAGCCTTCCAACTATTCTTCTATACTGTTCTGGATCTTCAAGCAGTGTACCTTGTGTTGCTCCCAGCTTGACTTTTGGATCTGATGGTGATTGACATCCCTTGGCACTCAGATATCCAGTATCAGTCAAAAGATCCATGCAGTATTTCCTTTGGCACACAGTTATGCCTTCTGCAGTTCTGTTCACTTCCAATCCCAGAAAATATTTTAAGGGTCCCAACAGCTTGATCTTGAATTCCTTACTTAAGGATTTCTTCACTTGATCTATATCTGTCTGAGCATCTCCAGCTAGTATAATATCATCTACATAAACAAGTAGGATGACAATTCTACCATGCACCCACTTAGTAAACATAGAGTAGTCTGAATTTGATTGATAAAACCCATTCTTCAAAAGAAAACCAGTTAGCCTTGCAAACCACTGTCTTGATGCCTGTTTAAGACCATACAGTGACTTCTTCAGTTTACAAGCCATCCTTTTTGGACTTCCAGGAGGCAATTCTATTCCCAAAGGCACCTGCATATAGACATCTTCACAGAGATCACCATTTAAGAAAGCATTAGATACATCTAACTGCTCAAGAGTCCAGTTCTTCACAGCTGCTATGGCTAACAAGGCCTTTACTGAATTGATCTTGGCCACAGGAGAGAAGGTGTCCAAGA